CCCCCCCCCAAAAAAAAAGAAAGAAAAAAACACTTGCCAAGTGTCTATAACAAGTTTTTCTTTTTTTCTTTTTCTTTTTAGGCAAGTTTCATATTAAGTACCTGGATGAATTAGGGCTGTAATCGGGTAGTTCAGATCGGATCCAGCGCATCTGAATCCGATTCTTATTATTGAAACCACAAACCTGAATCTGCCTTTTTGGTCTTTAAAATAAAGAGCAATTAATTTTAAAAAATAATTTCTTTGTAATTTATACATATATAATAAATATATATACATATAAAATATTAAATTATATATACCCATTTAAGTTTTTTTTTTGACAAGTATATATACCCAATTAAGTTTGTATCAGACCAGATGTATGTATTAGGCTTTGGACATCCTTCAGTACAACCTTATGGATGACAAGTTGCAACTTTGGGTTGGCTCAACCTAGACCCAGTCTGACTTAAACCTAGCTTTATCCTGGACTGGGCTGTTATTTACGTTTGGAGGCCGTTTGATAACAGTTGAAATGACTGAACTGAAAATTTTATTGTCTTATCTTTTACTGAATAAGTTTTCAATAAGCAAACTGTGTGTTCTTTAATGGCTGAAATTGAAATTCAGTAGAGTATTTTACCCTTGAATATGTGACTATTTAATTTTTTTTTTTCAACAAGTTCATCTGTTATCAAACAGCCCCTTAGTTTAGAAAACATAAAACCGGTTGATTGATTCGATTAACCGTTGGTTCAATTTGTCACGATTTGATTAACCGAAATTTTCAATTTGGTTTTGCCAGTTTAATTCAATTTTTGGATTTTTCTCTTTTTCATGATCACCCCTACAAATCAGTAGTTCTGGTTGTTAAGGTAGGATTGTTCGGTTGCAGGCGCACATACAATCGGACAGGGACATTGCAACGCCTTCAGCAACAGGCTGTACAACTTCACAGGAAAGGGAGATGCAGATCCCTCTCTCGACCCAGAATACGCAGCTTTCTTGAGAACTCAATGCAAGAGCCTTTCAGACAACACAACTCAAGTGTTCATGGACCCCAACAGTGGAGTCTCATTCGATAGCCATTACTATGCCGTTGTAAAGCAAAACAAGGGTCTCTTCCAATCTGATGCTGCTCTTCTCACCAACAAGATCTCAAGCAAAATTGTCACCGAATTGCTCAACCAAAATAAATTCTTCACAGAGTTCGCACAGTCGATGGAGAGGATGGGAGCCATTGAAGTTCTTACTGGAAGTTCTGGAGAGATTAGAAAGAACTGTGCGGTTGTCAACTCTTAATTAAGTTCTGTAACTCCAAGCTTGTGGTGGCATAAATGTTTCCCATCGATCGTCTTTGTGATTTTTATTTCTTTATTACTTTTTCCTTCTCAAGAATAACTGACTCGGATGAGAAGCCAATATTCCCTCTTCCCAAACATCTCAGATTTTCCCTATAATTAATTAATTAAATTTCAATAATAGATACAGGTGGGTCTTTCCGATGGGCATTTGTGTTTATAGAACAAAACTATATTCAAGAGCCTAACCCAAAACAGTTTAGCCTTTTTGCTTGTTTCTTGAGAAATGAGAATCTAAACCTACAATCCAGTCCAATTTTGTATTGTTAATCGTCGGATGAAATCAAAATCGACACGAAGTCACCACTCACCAGCCCATCAAAATCTGTAGACAGGTCCGTGGCCCTGCCAGCCAACTACAGTTGCCATCTGTCCTTTGTTTCAAGTAGAAGGGACCTGCTGCCTCCTCCCTACCATCAGGTGGGCAAAAAATCACCGTGCAAAGAAGATTATGAACATCTGCTATTTATTTTCAATCAAGAAAATAAAAAATAAAGCAACTAGATTGTATCCGATTGTGAGAATCTCTGATAATTTTCTTGTATGAGCGAATTAATTTGTTAATCTTAGAGTACGAAACTTATGTTTCCTGCAACCCCCTTATTGTTTATTAATTTGATCTGAATAATTAAATCATTAGTTTCGTGTACCACCGAAAAGAGATGATGTTGTACCCTCGATCATGTTTTGCATTTACAGTTTAAGAAGGGCACGGCAGTCTCACACCGGTGGCATCCAAGGCATTTGCTAACATCCCTATAACATTATTGAGCTCTCAAGGAAATCTTTGCTATGAAAGGCCTCAGTGTTGATGACCTTGTTGTATTATATATCTGGTTGGTACGCAAGAGAGGGTGGGGGGGAGTCGGTAAATGGGATTGCAGTTTCCATCCATCAAGTTATTAATGTTATTATTTCAGAAATATGTGAGGTTAATGTTTTAAAAACTAATTCGGAGTCTGAATCATTTTTGCCTCCGGGTCATATGTCATTAGTTTGACCGTATAGGTTGAATGGATCAGACTGTACTATGTCAACAATACATATATCATAGATATATTACCCTTTGGATGCATAGATTTTAAAAGGTTACCCAAAAAAAAAATTACCTTATTCATACATTGGAGTGCAAAGTTATGATTTCTCAAATTTTGTATATATAATTAATGTACAACCCATAACCCGGTTATCAGGTCAAACAGGTCAATGGTGGATTGAAAACATTGACAGTGGGATCCACGAAAAAATTAATGATAAAAAATACCCCCACAAGATACATTTATTCGATAAATTAAACAAAAAATATAAATAAATACACTTACCCGAAAATATAGATTCCTGAAATAAACAAATAAGACCCAAATATAATCCATTTCCTTTCCTGGAGATCATTTCTTAACCCTCAATTCTCTCAGCTCATACATAATTGGGTCGGGCTTAAGCTTGGGCTTGTCATTTCCTATCGCAACCCAAGACAATTGCTAATTTGCTGGCCCTGGCCTCATACATACGACTCCCCTTATATGATATGAGCAAAAAGTTATTTCCCTAACCCCTCTCCGTGTAGTAAATGCAACCATGCCAAAAAAACACATCTGATCGCTCTAAAGCCTATTCCTCATCTCAAGGATCCCAATCACTGTGCAGCTCCCCGCCTTGGGAGCCCCATCATCATGCAGCAACCGACCCCACGCAGTTCCAAGCCATGCAGCAGAAGGTTGACAGAATCCTAGCCATGATGGAGACGCTGGGGCAAATGGCACATGCCCCCAAGGTACTCGCCCTACCACATAGGTGCCTACTATAGTTGATCATCGCACCAAGAACCCCAAAAGGCACCACGCAAACAGGCACAAGGCCCAATTCGATCGCGAACGACCGTAGCTATCTAGAAGATCTGACTCCCCACCCAGCCTCGCACACACAATGCCCGCAATAGATTCCATCACTCTGCTCGAGTGCCTGTGAAAGAACGATTCGGCCAACGTTTACAGCATCCACCGATTTCGGTAGCCAAATCCAACTCGGTCCAAGAGTTACCTGCAATCCCAAAAGGAGAAAAGTCTGTAAACGTGGTCCCAGCCGACAGAGACGCCAAAATCAGATAACTAAGAGAGCAGTTGGCCAAACTGGAGCGCGCGCAACCAAGCAGATAGAAGCGTAGCTCCTCCAACGGCCCAGCCTTCAAAGCAGCACTACAGCCAGCCCGCAAAGGAACCCGTCTTCGTCCAGGAGATCGTAGATGAGCTTCCCTCATCCGGCCAATGACCCCCTCAGTTTGAAAAGTATGATGAAGCCTCGGACCCCAACGATCACATTGAGGGGTTCAAGGTGATAATGATGCTGCATGACTCCTCCAAGGGTATCATGTGCAAGGCCTTTGACACAACCCTCCACGGAGTTGCCAAGACCTGGTACACCTCCCTTCCACCACTGTCCATTTCCTCCTAGGAGCAGTTGGAGACATAGTTTCTAGTGTAATTCACCGCCAATCAAAGGCAACAGAAGACCTCGACTAGCCTCATACAAGTACGTTAAGAGGAAAGGAGAGACCATGAGGGAATACTTGGCAAGGTTCAATACCAAAGTCCTCTAAGTCCAAGCTCTAAACCGGTCAGTGGCCAAGACCGCCATCATGAGCGGGCTATACTCTTCAATGTTTAGCTTCTCTTTGCAAAAGAACCCTCCACCCAACCTGACCGCGCACATGAACCACGTGAAAAAGTATACGAATGCCGAAGAGGCCCAAGCACTATGTAGGAAGGTTGAAGACTAGCACGACCGGAAGTGCAGAGACCACGATGACCAAAGATCAGACCAAGATGACAAGAGTCAAGATCGCCAACCTGGCCACAGACCAAGAACCCCGCCATCAGCATATCACAACTTCACTCCACTCAATGCTCCACTGGCCGAGATACTGATACAAATCCACAACTACAACTTCATCAAGTGGCCCGAGAAGATGCAAACCCAGGGCAACAAGAAAAATCAACACAAGTATTTCACCGAGACCACGGCCACGAGACTAAAAATTGCCATGACCTCTACCACTACTTGGAAGACCTCATCTGACGCAGATACCTTCGTGGCTTCATCGACATCAAAGAGCATAAACCCAAAGAATAGTCATACCTCACTGATGAGCCCCTAGCTCGAACTCCACCCGTCAAGGTCATCGTTGTCATCTCAGGCGACAAGGCCATTAGAGAGGAGAATAGCTAAGCACGGAAGACCCACACCGAAGAGCTAGAGTTCCAGGAATTTAAATGTAGTGACGACAATCGACACCAAACACTAACGAAACCAGGTTGTACAAATTCAATGAATAAAGAATTTTCCTTTAAGCACAAACGACCAAATGCCTGCACATTATCCAGCCAAACTCTGACGACTGAGCTCCACGTTGACCAATGATCACAACACGATGGCAACCTCATCGAGGACCCGACTGACCTATAATGGTCAAGGCCTAACAACCATCACGAAACCCAACCGACCACAGACAATCAAGGCCAGGACAAGACATCGACGGGTATCGCGGAAATGACGTCCCCACCATAGAATGGAAAGAGGACGGCCATCAAACTCTGTACACCCTCCCAACTTGTTGTCGAAGCATAGCTAACAGAGACCACGGCTAGCCCAGTCAAAGAGCATGAAGCCCTCCAAGCCCAGGTTCCACCGAACTCCCCGACAATGTTGAGAGATTGAAAGCACCTTGGCTAATTGAAGACCGAGGCCACTAAGCCAAAGACCTTGGCCAGCGTAAGACTGAGGCCACAAAGCCAAAAACCTTGGTCAGAAAGCATCAAGCCAAAGACCTCTTCCAGTGCAAGACTGAGGCCAACAAAAGATCGAGGCACAAAGTCGAAGACCTTGGACAGCAAGCATCAAGCAAAAGACCTCGACCAACGTAAGACCAGGCCAATGAAAGGCCAAGGCCACGATCGGCAAGCATCAAGCCAAGGACCTCGGCTAGCGTAAAATCGAGGCCACAAAGCTAAAGACCTCGACCATCATAAGACCAAGCACCACTGAACCCCAAAGTTTGATAACATGAAAAGAGGGGGGAGTGTATAGTGCACAACAAGAAATTTGCTTGGCAAAAAAAACTTCATTAACAAAACGGCAATACAACCACAAACCTGGCATACCAAGCTGCATACAACAACCAAAAAGACAAAAAGGGGAACCATCACTCCAGGCCAACCATGCTATCCATGGGTATCACCTCCTCGGGAGTCGTCATGCTTGCGTTCAAGGCGGGCTGCTCAATCGACGATTCCTCAACATTGAAAGGACTGTACTACTACACTTCCACGGCAGTCTCAGGGTGCTCACACATCACTCTCCTCTGGCAGCAAGCAAAACCAATCTGCTAGGAATCGATAGCAAAGTCATCGAGGGCGATCTAGAACTCATTGGACTCCTTGTACCTCGCCATCGCTTCTTCCTCGACACGGAGCAGCTTCGCCTCCACCTCCTCGGTCGCCTTCTGTGCCTTACCGTAACTCTTCTTAAGCTCACTCGCACGGCTCTTCAGGCACCGTAGATCCTCGTCCATGGCCGCTACCGTTTTCCTCAGCTCGGCCATCTCCACATGTAGACGGGAGGACTTGCCTTTCCAAGCCTCGGCCATCTGATGGAGGGTGCGCATCCAGTTAACCAGTGTCGTCACCACGCAAAAATCCTACAAAAAGAAAACTTAAGTTAATGGGCTTGGCAAAGCGCACTAAAGAACAGAAAAAGGTAGTACATAGAACCTCACCGCAATAGACTCTCTGATGGCCACACTTTATAGCACCCCGTTCGTACAGTCATTGGTCTCCCTCTAGATGTCGGGCAACAAAATACCCCGAGCCAACTGCTCAGGCACACCCTCAATTTCCAAAGTGTCCTCGAGCCAGACACTCCAACTCGGCTTGTACACTTCGGCCCCTTGCTCCACCAAACCTGAAGGTGGGACCTCAAGACTTCCCCACGACGGAGACAACATCCACCATGTCTCCCTTAGCCGGCCTCTACCTCTTATTCGACCGAAAGTTCACAACCTCTAGGGGCGTTGCTATCGATACTCCCCAGCCTGGGCCACCACCCTCCTCTGCGCAATAGCCTGCATGCACCTAGTTCTCTCCTCCTCATCAACAACTACCATATCTTCCAGAGAGAACAAGTCGGTCAAAGCCAAAGAAATGAAACAAGAAGAAAGACGCTTAAAAAAGCAAGGACAGACCAGTCGGGGGCTCCATCAACCCAGCACAGATCAACATGGAGAACAATGTGTATCCTACACATCTACCCTCTCTATCCGCCCGATGGCCGCTAACTCCTCCCTATCCTAGACAACTCAACCTCGGTTGGCGCCTTCACCATGGTCCTCGGGATTGAAAACTCAACGGGGAACAACCAGCCCCTAAGGCAGCGCACGAAGAAGAACCCCTCCTTCTAGTGTTTCACCAAGGAGGGGGCTTCGACGAGCACCTTATTGTGTTGCCGAGCCGAGAAGTAATAATAACCATATTGGTGCTTCTTCAGGTGTAGGAAGCATGTGAACATCAGTAGGGTGATGTTCACGTTGTGAGCAGTAGCAAAAGAGGCTAACCAAGTATTTGAAGGAATTGGGCATCAGCTGGACCGGTTGGACGCATTACCAACTCAGCATTGTTGTGATACCCTCGCTTAAAGGAAACCTCAGCCTGTCTATCAGGTTGTGCTCGTAGATACAAAGCTCCCCCAACCGAGCCAAGGTAGCCCCCTCAACAATGTCGGGGCACCTCAACTCGGACTCCTCGGGAGTGCAATAAAGGGTCCTAACTTGGGCTAGGTATCTAGGTGTTAACCCACACGGTGAAGACGCAAAGCGGTTGCTGAATCGTACAGGGGCGCCAAGCCCCTCTTTTGACACAATATCCACTTCAGCCCCGTCGGTTTCCCCGACCTCAGCCTCCCGAAAGACCATAGTTTCCTCCACCGCAACACCCTTACCCTCAGGCCCGACCAGGTGGGTGTCGATCTTACGGGCCACAAGCGCGGTGGCCTCGGGGTGAGACCCTGGATTAGACTCACTACCCAACGCACAAGAGCTAGATGAAGAGGAATAACAAGATGAGAAGGAAGATGAAGACATCTTACCGAAGAGTCACATTGCTAGACACCTGAAGCACCTGCCAATGACTAACTCTCACCGAGCTCCTATGATTGCTCACTCAAAATGACAAAGTAAAATGTCTTGCCACCTCTCCTTTTATAGGGCGACCAACAATGCTGATTCGATGCTGCACTTCGCACGCATGTGACCTCGGGAAGACAAAACAACACGTCTATCGACCTGTAACGGAAATGACACGAGTGTTGAACTAGTCGGTCCACCTAGCGAACTGGTCTTACCCTAGGCTAGGCAACTCGAAGAAACTACATTTCCTCATTCGAGGACCGCAGAGTTCTTCCACGCCTATTCGCAACCGAGCACTACACTCATTGACTTCAGAACTGGGGGAGTGATGTTCTTGTGATGGTTGAGCTAGCCAAGGATGCCATATGTCTATCTTTGTAGCTGCCCCCCTCTTAGGCCACGTCAGCGCCACGCGTAACAGAAGAGCACGACTATGAAAGAATGTCCCGCATGGACAAGAAAGCGAACTCCGTCGGGGAGGAGGAAACCTCTCGATGACCTCGGCAAACACTCTCATCTCAACAACCCCAGAATCCCTATCCATCTAGGACACGGACACCCAACTATAAGTAGATATTCCATGCTCAAGGTAAGGGAATTTTTAGAACTACACTCTTTGAATATCTCTTTGCATTATCTTTTCGGCTCGGACCAACGCTATTTCAACCTATTCATTCCGGCCACATCCTTCCTTATCTTACTGACTTGAGCATTAGAGTATCTACCCGGGGAACAACTCCTTGGGCCTTTGACCTTTCTCCTGTTTGCAAATTTCGATGCACCGCTTCATCCTTCCACTTTGGCCTTGTCCAATTAACAAGACTATCTGAATATGTTCTAGATTCGAATTGAACAACATGATCCCATTGTATGACAACTCTTCTTCTTCCTTAACTATTTTGATTTTATTATTGTTCATATAGTTGTCATTAAATTTTTACCTTTATTAGAAATTTTTTATTATTTATAAAATTATTAATTGTCTAATGAAGATTATAAATTGATATAACAAAAATTATCAAATAATTTTAAAATTGAAAACTTACTATATTCAAGAACTTATTTTCAATAAATATATATATATATATTAATTAAAGAGAGACCTGGTCGACGGAAATTTTTAATTGAAAGTGGAGGGGATGTAGATTTTAGCTTATTATTAGAGAGAGAAAAATGTATAATTGTACAGTGAATTAGTGAACACTGAAAATGAAAATTCCAGTCACGAGAGTCGCCACCATTAATTGATACAAAGACGAAGTCGGAGGAGCATGTGTGAAACTGAATTATATAATATTATTATCATCTCTAGCTTTAAAAAAAAAAGTAAAAAAAAAACACAAGTATTATATATTATTTAAAACGTGTTAAAATGGGTCCACACGGATGAAAAACCCTTTTTTAATGAAAGGGGGAATTAAAAATTTGATGCCCGTTGTCATCCACGAGCAAACCACGCGCCGCCCATTATAAAATTGCAATCGGCATATCTTCTTTTCTTTCTTTTTCTTTTTTTTTTTGGGTAAAAGCAATTGGCATTCTTCGAATCACAGTTATTTTATGTAAATTATCATTCAGGATTCCTTCTTTATTCATTAACAATGACTTGTAAAGGAAGTCCCAGCTTGACTTTTCTTCTATTTTTTTATATCCAAAATAAGTTGCAGGGAACAATTGGGTACATATATCCGTTGTAAGAGAACAATTGTGTAAGAATTGAAGAAAACTTGTGCCAATAGTAAGTGGGGTTTAGATGTTTAATCGATTCTGATCAGGTGGAACAGAGCAAGCACTGAAATGAGGACATACCCCCACTGAATTATTTCCATTCAGTTGGAAATATTAGAATGAGATATGTTAATTAATTGGTGCAAGTTGTCACAGTTATTACGGAGAAGATGAATGAATTGACACAAGAAAACATTAAAAAAGAGAGAGAGAGAAGAAATATCTATAATGGCCATAATCTGAAGACAACTTTACGTTATTTGACTCTGTAAGATGTTTCAAGTCACAATTTCTGGTTCCTTTGAAAATTTAGACGGTGCATAACACCATTAGAGTCCTATATAAGGAAGCACCGGTCGGCCTTGAGATATCCATATTTCCTTGCTCGAGACAGAGACAGAGAGAGAGAGAGAGAGAGAAAGAAGGAGAAGAAGCTGATCTGTTCTGATTCCTGAGTTGAAGATGAGGACTAGCAGTCTTCTCTTATTAGTTTGTATGCTAGCTTTATGTGCTTTTGGTATCTGTGAAGGAGGTCCGCTGAGAAAAAAATTCTACAAAAGTAGCTGCCCCAACGCCGAGGAGATAATTAAGACCGTCGTCTGGAAACGAGTCGCTCAGGATTCAGGGTTGCCTGCTGCACTCGTGAGGATGCATTTCCACGATTGCTTTGTTAGGGTAATAAATTATATATAGTAGTTACTTTTCTGCTATTAGCTCATATTAATTCACCATCTTCTGCTTTTGCCAATGCAATATAAATATGTTAATAATTAAATCAACCATGTTTGTTTCAGGGCTGTGATGGCTCAGTGCTATTGAACTCTACCAAGGATAACACGGCGGAGAAGGATGCACCTCCAAACTTGACCTTGACTGGTTTCGATGTTATTGATGAGGTGAAAACTGAAGTAGAGAAAGCTTGCCCAGGAGTTGTTTCTTGCGCTGACATCGTTGCTCTGTCTGCCAGAGACTCTGTTGCCTTCCAAGTAAGTTTTTCAATTAATGTAATGGACTCAAATTGTGCGTGTCTGTGCTTGTGCTTGACATCTGAATCGATGGATGATTTATTATTGTACATTCTCTTCTTACATATATATATATATATATATATATATATATATACATTCATTTTTGCAGTTCAAGAAACCACTGTGGGACGTGCTTACTGGTCGGAGAGATGGCACTCTGTCACGGGCCTCCGAGGCAGTTGCCAACCTCCCTCAACCCACCTTCGACTTCAACACTCTCAAGCAAAACTTTGCTAGGCAAGGACTCAACGTTCACGACCTTGTGGTGTTATCAGGTAAGATTTTCAGGATTTCTTCAATGTTATTAAGGAGGTGTTTGGCAAGTGGGTTTCAACAAGTTCATAAAAGTAAAAATTGGTCTTTTTTTGTTTGATAATAAAAAAATTGTAAAGATGAGAAGACATGTGTACAGAAAGATTCAAAAAGACCAAAAATATCAAATTTCGGAAAGATTCAAATGAAGCTTTTTGGTCTTTTTGCATGATAGATTGCTTCTAAATATGTTTTTAAAAGCCCATTAGATCAAGTGGCTTATCATCTTTATCTAAGATAAAGACAATACTCAAAAAACTTAATATGTCATTTGGCCATTTGAACTGCTAAAAGATCTTTCTAAAATTACTTGTCAAAGGGAATTAAAAATCTTTAAATATATTTTTTAAAACATAAACAAATAAAAAATAAATAAATCATGTAACATCCTTCAAATAACCTGACAACATTTTTATCATATGTCAAAATAACCGGTTGTGTTCATCAAAATATATGCTTAATTATGGGATAAAAATTAAGAGGGTTGTTAATGTAATTGTAAATTGTAGGGGCGCACACAATTGGACAGGCACACTGCAATGCCTTCAGCAATAGACTGTACAACTTCACAGGGAAGGGAGATGCAGATCCATCTTTGGACCCCACCTACGCGGCTGTCCTGAGAACTCAATGCAAGAGCCTTTCAGACAACACAGCTCAAGTATTCATGGACCCCAACAGCGGTACCTCATTTGACAGCCACTACTACGCTGCCGTGAAGCAACACAAAGGTCTCTTCCAATCTGATGCTGCACTTCTCACCAACAAGATCACTAGCAATATTGTCACCGAGCTGCTCAACCAAAATGCTTTCTTCACCGAGTTCGCCCAGTCCATCCAAAAGATGGGTGCTATTGGAGTCCTTACTGGCAACTCTGGACAGATCAGAAAGATCTGTTCTGTTGTGAACCCTTGAGATGACAAAAGTTATTTGGATTTTCTTTTTCGTGAAAATAAATGTATGTCAATTCTATCAATTGAAGAAATTAGTTGGGTTTTGTAACTTATCTCTTTCCATTGAACATAAATTTATCTGAATTGAGGAATCAATCGAGTATTTTCTTTGTCATGTAATTCATTGTTTGATTATTTTTAAACTTAAAATATACTCATATAAAAGGACTTGTTTATTTTTTTAACTAAAAATACCATATAAAAAGGACCTATATTTTACTTTATACTCACATTTAAAGGTTGGAAGCTGAAATTCCTTGCATAGATCATACCAGTGTTTTAAAAACCGATCCAAAGGTTAAATTGTTTTTATCTTCAAATCACGAGTCATTGGTTCAACCATTTAGATTGAACAATAGTTTTTGATCAAATACTAAGTTTTAACAGAATCGAACCCAGAATTAACATGTATTGGGGCAGTTACTTATCCAGGTAAATGCAATTATTTGGGTAAATTTTTCTTGAAAAATGCTTATTTAGGTAAATGCATTTATCCATGTTCTTTTATTTCTCATATAAATAAGGCTATGACCATTTTAGTCATAAAAATTCATTATTAAAAGGGCCATTTTTGTCCCATTCAGGTGTTGGTAATTTTCTCATTAAGTAGAAAAGTTATTTATCCACCTAGAGATGGATATCACTTGCCCATGAAAATAAACTTTCCTTGATCCCCACATAAATCTGGAAAAAGAACATGAGATTTTTAATCAATGAAAACCAAAATCCGACCAATTTTTCTCTCTCAAAATTCGAAAATAGAACACGATTCAAATTATTCAACTGAATGAATCAGCAACGGTTTAAAAACATTGGATCAGATTTCAAGGCTGTAGAGGCGAAACTAACGTGGGGTATTGACACAAGAAAGATCATTTTGGGGCCATTATTGGAATTCTCTCCATAAACCACTTCACTGATATAACCCATGTCCTAACAACTTTTGCTCGTAATGTTTCCAATTTGGCATTGTAAACCTGAATGTGACGAATTGAGGATGTTAAATCCAATCTTTCCTAGGAGACTAATTTCATTCATCAACGTCATTTACATTAGATTTATCAAGGCTGAACAATCGAACTACGGAATTAATACAGTATAGTGGATTCTATAAGAGGCAATTCATCTATCAGACAGCATTTAAAAACTCACTGAATGATCAGAGACATCCTTCTCATCGTGGATTTGAAGTAAACGTGTACAAACCTCGATGTGGATGGAGACAAAATCACGCCAAAGATTCCGTGTGGTGTAGATCCCTACGGTTATACCAACCCCTCCCCCTCAGCCCTGATCACTTTCAAACTTCATTTATATTCTTGGTCAATGTTTGTCTGACTACGAAAGGGAAAAAGAAAATATGCCAAAGTTGTCAAATTTTTCATGTATGTAGAGCCTTTGATCATCAAACATGCCAAAGTTGTCAAATTGTAATTTAATTTGAGGGGTCTACATGGAGAGTTCGGATCTGCTTTTAGCAAACAGTGCTTAGCACATCTTAGCTTATGTCATCTGTCCGTAACCAAGGTTTTAAAAGCTGATATGGAAAGAGAACCACTTTCACCACCAATTTCTGGGTCAGCGGTTTGATCATTTGGGTGAAACAGTTTAAACGGTTGAATTGATCTCAGCCTTTAGATTAGACTAATATAGTATTAAGAGAGATCTATTAGTAATCTATTAGAGAATCTCTAGAGCGTGAAAAGGGCGACTCTGCTGAGAAATAAAGTGAAAAAAAAAAAAAAGTAGATAGTGGTGCAATCAATGAAGGATCCACGAGACCACGACCTTTGATCAGTGGCATCAGGCATTATCATAACAATAATATAATTAAAAATTAATAATCTTAAAAGTCTTTCACTTTCTTACTTAATTTCAATTTCAGATTTTAAGTGGGTCGTAGTATGTGGGTGTCATGCAATTCATTCTTGTATTTTTGAAAGGGTCAATTGTAAAAAAAAAAAAAAAAAACAAACAGTTTTCTTCTTTAATCACATAAAACTTCACTTTTTCAAAAGTTAGTGGGGGAAGATTGCCCACACTGATGATTTCTACATAGATCTGCCCCTAAATGCAATGGGCCAATGGTGAAAATGATGGAAATGGCAACGATACTGCCATCACTCCCCTCTCTCTCTCTCTCTCCTATTAAATCTCAAATTTGAGAACTAAAAAAGTAAATATTTTTTATTAAATTGCGAATTATTATTTAAATTGTACGTTTAATGATTCAATCACCCGAGTCAGCGGTTCATACAGCTTTTGAAAAAAATCCAGACCAAGTAATAAATGAAATCGGACAAGTGACTAATTCCAGGTCGAATGGTTTGACCATTGGGTCAATGATGGTTATAAAATCATGTTCATAACATTTAACAATTGTCAAAAATTAACGTGAATAAATGCATCTTGCTTAAATATTGTGGGTAACAGGATCTGATCACCATTAGGGGTGGTAATTTTTCACCTAACCTGTTGAATCCATTCAACCCGCTCATTTATTTAGCGGATTGGAAATGGATTGATCACCTATTAGGTCAATTTAAATAAATTGAATTGGATTGGGTTATGAAGTTAACCACTAAATGCACAATCATACAAGTATAAATTTTTTAACCTTTTTTTTTTATTTTCTTCATTTAAGCAAAAAAAATAATTTATAATTAATATATTACTTAATTACTAATAGCCCACCATGGACAAATAGCACAAACCCATGATATTACTAGCGTTGTTTGTTTACTGGTCTAGATCAACCTCCCCCGCATGGTGGAAAAGGTTAAGCTTCCAGCTAGTATTTACGATGCTCTTTTCCAAAGCCTATATGAGTCTCCTTTTTTTTCCATGCTCTTGTTTGGACTCTACTGTAAGTAAACGTGTCATCTACAAGAATACCACGCGCCATTCACTAAAATATTGTAATTATACGTACCAAATGGCAAATGTGTTATTTGGAAACCATAGAAAATGAGATTCCAATTTCAGTTTTTCTTCAATATTTTAGTGCCCAATTTGAATTACATGACAAACACGATATGGGTACGAACTAGGAAGATAGTACATCTTACCAACGCAACAAATAACAAAAAAGAAAAGGCATATAGTACGTATCAGTTAAGTTAATTTGCTTTAAAATTAAGAAAAAAAAATAATAGAATAGAAAGTCAGGGATTTGATGTTAACTAGACGCGTTGGAAAGGAAGCCATGCCAATCTCTCTTTCTCTTTCTTTGACCATGTCTACCAGTCTACGTAGATGTTAGAGTTCATTTGGATTCTAATTGTTTTGATGGATGGAATGGCATTCTTTCATTTGAGGAAATGGCTATTCCATCCCTTGGAATGGCTATTCCCTCTCCCTTGGAAATGAAAAAATTCATTCAATTAATTTTAATTCTGTCTCCAATATCAGACTGGATACATCAACAGGTACAATAGACTATTCTATTTCTAATTTCAGCCATGAACCAAACAGACTCTTAGGCTTTATTTGGTTTTAAAGAAATAGTAAGGAAAAGTAGACCTGTATAGGTTTCCCAACTTTTTCTTCCAAACCAAACATAGCCTACTGTTGCTTAATTGTGCCTTATGTAAAGCAGTCGAAGAATACCATTAAGAATCCTACGTAAGGAAGCATTGGTTATATTGAATGATCATCTCATTCTGTTAAACCATATTCCTTGCTTGATAGAGAGAAGTAAATTTCTTCTTTGATTAATAGTATTCACTTAGGCTGTGTTTGGTTTGAAGGAAAAAGTAGGGAAAGGAAGGAAAATGTAAGAAAACCTATACAAGGTTTATAAAGGTTTTCCTACCTTTTCCTTCCTTTCCCTACCTTTTCCTTCAAACCAAACCGGGAAAGACCACCTTAGTTTTTTGTGCCTTTTGGAATTTGTCAAGCTGGCCTTAGAATTGAGATTGAATTTCTACCAGACTAGCTCAAAGTTCAAAATATCATTTTGTACCGTGGCTCGCTTTTATTTATTTATAGTTTTTTTTCTACAACTGGTTCAGAGGAGCCGGTTTAAAGCCCTTCTACCCCCTGAATCAGTTAAACCCTGAAACACCCTCTATAGGGATGTATTAGGAATCCCCCAATATGATATGTATTGACTGATATGATCTGATACATGTCGAAATTTTGAACCTTGGACTAGCTTTCCTCATCATGCCCAAGAGATTGTTAAGAATGTAACTTGGGAAAAGGGTATCCAATGATTCTCCTGTTCATAATTCCAAGTGTAAGAATATTTGGAACTTTATTTAATATTTGAGATCTAACTCTTGGTTTGTTTGCAAAAGCATGTGAGTGCAAATTCTGTTTTTTTAGGGAAAATTCCCAATTAGTACCCTATACTTTGGGCCTAGTGCCATTTTAGTCCCCGAACTTTAAAATGTGACAATTCAGTACCTGAGCTTTCAAAACATGACAATCCAGTACCTATTGTTAACTAGTTGTTAACCAGTTGTTAAGTGACTTTTGAAAAAGACACAAATGCCTTTCGAGTGCCATCTAATTTTCTTTATCAACCATTCGAACATTGACAAAAAATTAACAGTCTCAAATCCTTGTCTCTTCTATTCAAGTTGGGGACACCAGAATGCCCACTCAAACGTGACCCCAACTTTCTTGAATGAAAAAAGGCAAAGATTTGGGACTGTTAATTTTTGTCAACGTTTAGATGGTTGATAAAGAAAATTAAATAACACTTGAAGGGCATTTGTGTCTTTTTCAAAAGTCACTTAACAACTGGTTAACAACTACTTAACAATAGGTACTGGATTGTCATGTTCTGAAAGCTCGGGTACTGAATTGTCACATTTTAAAGTTCGGGGACCAAAGTGGCACTAGGCCCAAAGTATAGGGTACTAATTGGGAATTTTACCTTTGTTTACTTACCTTGTATTGTTTGTTTACGGTGCAGATGAATCAAAATAAAACCTAAGGCAAACGTGAAGGATAAATCGAATCTAAATTTGCATTCTTCTCATTTGCACTCCCATGCATCTATACTAGTGTAAATGAAATTGCATCACACATAAATGGAACCTAAGGAAATGATAATTCTGTTTCCTACATTGATAACAATGTGGTTCACTAATCAGCATCTCTTGG